GCATTTATCAATGCAGCAATCATTTGAAAAGGTTATGAAAGTCTGTGACCTCTTTTTCTCTCCCAGTAATATAGAGGGGTGAGATTTTTGATTTCTTAAATTATACATGCCGCAATTTCCCATTCTGGGAATCCTACCTGTCTTACATCCATCTTACAGATACCTAAATGTGGTTCACCTGAGGAGAAAAAGTTCTAACTGGAAGGCTTTGAGGCCTACCTAGGCCTAAAGGTAAAGGTAAGGTAAAGGTTCCCCTTGACAATTTTTGTCCAGTCGTGTTCGACTCTAGGGGGCGGTGCTCATCCCCGTTTCCAAGCCAGCGTTTTATCCGAAGACAATCTTCCGTGGTCACGTGGCCAGTGCGACTGAGACACGGAATGCTGTTCCCTTCCCACCGAGGTGGTCCCTATTTATCTACTTGCATTTACATGCTTTCGAACCGCTAGGTTGGCAGGAGCTGGGACAAGCAACGGGAGCTCACTCCGTCGCGTGGATTCGATCTTACGACTGCTTGGTCTTCTGGTCCTGCAGCACAGTCTTTTGCGGTTTAGCCCGCAGCGCCACCATGTCCCTAGCTAGGCCTAGTTCTGCTCAAACGTCCCGTTCCTGCACCAGTGCTATATGGGAACTTTCTTTATGAACATGAAGCTGGTGCTTCACGTGAGCCATAGTCTCTTACACTAGTGGTGTGACGTGACATCTAGAGACCAAACAGGAGAATATTGAAGAACCCAAGGCAAGAGGTGGCCAAAATGCAGAGGATCCATGTGTGCTGTCTTTGGACAAATGTGCAAAAATACTGAATCAGGATGAATACAGAGTGGAGCAAAGAGCTGCTGTTTGTGTCCCAGATGGAACAATACCTCTACAGAACCTTCACATGCCATCTACATTTTTTGGGTTTAAAAGATGGTCAGAGAAGTGAATTGAGGAAAGGGAAAATTGAAAACAGTCCAATACGTAGATTGAGTTGCTGGTGATAAAGGAGAAGGTAAGTGACAACTGAGCCCTTTACCCTCCAGAGGCCAGTATTTTTCCTGGATGCTTGAATCTCTGAGGCTCTAAGGAGGACTCAGATTGGGGTCACCATATTGTACATTCATATCCCTTTCCAGCCACTGTCCAGCCATTTGGCAGCGTTGCAGGGTGAAGAGAGAGACTTGCATTGCTATATACTTGACATTCAGCATTCTGGGACATTCTTATTTTGCATTGTTTTCTCACTCAGTCTAGTTTACTGAATTTAATTATCATCATGTACTGTCAAATCAATTCTAACTCACGGAGACCCTTTCCATGGTTTCCTTGGGGGATAGTACTGAGAAGTGGCTTACTCTTCCCTTCTTCTAAGGGCACTCTGGAACTGTGCTGCTTGTCCAAGGCTACATAGGTTGGCTTTTTATCATGGGAGGCACAGTAGGGAATTGAACTCCCAACCTCTGGCTCCACAGCCAGATACCTAACTCACTGAGCTATCCAGCCAGATTTGATTATTACTAAAACACCATTACACTATTGGGAGTGTGCGCATGTGTGTAATTGTGAAAAGATGCTTCTTGTATGAGCTTTGAATGGATAAGATCACACAACTAGGATGCTATGAGCCCCCTCTTCCCAGGTGAAAGCCATTTTTGTTCCTGTGATCTATTTGCTTAATTTATATTTGCTGATTAGGTGTACCTGGTGAATCACATTTTGGGGAATTCCTTTAACAGATGACCCATCTGCAGCCCACAAGCTAGTGTGCAGATGAGAAATGATTTCTTTGCTAGAGCCTTCTGCAAATATTGCAACCATAGTACTCAGAGATTTAAACGTGACAAAATATGCATTTATAATTTTAATTTGTGAGAAAATGTGCCTTTCAATATATGTAAACCTCCATAAGTTAACTTCATATTTTGGGATGATTTATTTTTTAAAAAATAATTTAAAAAATTATGCAGATTTATGAAGAAATGGAAGAGAATTAGCAAAATATGTGGAAACAGTCACACACAAGTAATAAATGTTTAAATAAACATCGGCAAACTTTTATGGCATTTTCTGGGGTATCTGAAATTTTATTTCATTTTAACTGGGTCATTTTACAAGTGCATACAGTCAGTGCTTTTATACTTTGTTTTTATTCTTTATTGTTTTTATATTGTAAGAAATCTTGGGAAAATCCTGGTCCTGAAAGATAACTAAGAACAATTAAATACTGAGGCCACATTGACTGTCCTGTGCGCTAAGATCTTTGGATATAGGGCAGAAAAGCAATATTTTCAGTAAAAAAATACCCAAATTCACCTGTTCCTGTTTCCATTCTCTATTAACTTGTTGCTTGATGGAGGTTACTCTGTGTGTGTGTGTGTGTGTGTGTGTGTGTGTGTGAGAGAGAGAGAGAGAGAGAGACCTTAATTCCATCTTCATTATTCTGCCAGGTTTGTAACTTGTAATTGCTTAGCTTTTCTCACCTCCCAAGGTGTGAAGGAAAGCGAGCACCTCATTTATCTTCCTGTGCTCTGCTCTTACTTTACTTGCTTAATGAGGCTGAAATTAGTTTTAGCTGACTTCTACTTTGCCTGATTTGCCTGTTTGTTCATTTGCTCACTCCAACCCTGATAAACAAAGGAACATCATTAATTAAGCAACTTCCGAACAGATTAATCAAAAAGGTGGATCTCTACTTTGCTAAAACAAACAATGTGACATAAATAAATCTGCCTTATGCGAGAATACATTTGCAATGGATTTGCTCTTGAAGCTAATTCCTTAAACAGATGGGCAAATTTCTGACACTGTCTTGTTTGTTTCAAGCAATAATGCAGCTCAACCTTGTTCTTTAATAAAGGTAATCATGCTTGTGGAGGAAACTAAAAAAAAAATTAAATTCTTAAAGGTAAAATTCAAGGTTGCAACTGGTGCTGGATTGGAGCAGGGCTCATCACAGTTCACACTTGGCTTCTGGACATGCTTGGAGGGCATTTCCATCACCATTGAGTAACATGTGCCAAATGCTGGCTAACTGAGACTTAAGAACATAGCTGTAAGATTTGGTTATGTGGCTTATAAACCTTTTAATATGCTTTTAATTTTAAAAATGGGAAAGTTTTCTCAGCTTGGAAGTGGAGTGATAGACAGAGCTTCACTTATACAGTTATATATATATTTTTTTATCTGTGATGTTCATAGAGTAAGCAGGGATAGATGAATATGAAAAAGTTGCTCTCTTTCACTTTGCTAGTCTTAAGTTTATTACAGTATTTCCTAAATTTTGAGAAATTCTATAGCCTTAAATTTGGTTTATCCCAAAAGTTGAGAATCTGCCCAGTTTTAAATTAAATTCTTTCCATCATTTAAAAAAAATTCTAGTCAAAAGTTCAGTGTATTTTGAATTTCAAGAAGTTAAAAGTTTGCATGTAAAACAGAAATGAATTTTTGTATACAGTTTTGTTCAGTATACTGTACATAATAGTTGCAAGCAGTTTTCCAAACCTAATGCATTTGGGTGGCATTTTTGTATGTTAGTTTTGTATTTACTTGTCTCCTTACACATTTCCACATGAATCGGTGTCTTCAGTGCCCAGAAGATCATGTTATTTTTGTAAGAATTCTACCCCTCCACCCTTTTGGTAAATCTCCCGAGGTACTGTATAATTTGGAAAAATGCAAAAACCCAAGGTAGTGTTTCAATCTGTGTGTTCCATTAGAGAGTGTAAACTGGATTGGTTAAATCTGAAAACCAAGGACTAAGAAAAGTCATGAAGCATCCTTTCTTGTTACACTACGTTTCTTATTCAGTACTGCATTATAGAAACAGTCTAAATAAAGAACTGAAGACGCACATTTCTGCTCCACAAAAGAACCTTTGATCTGCTTATCCTAACTCAAAAGCCACTGGGGCTGGGAGAATATTCAGTAAGGGTGGGACCTAGAATCATATTTGACCCATAATTTTGCTTTCTTAAAAGGAGTTCTCATCCATGATGCCCTCATTGCCAATTGCACACATTATTTGCAATGTTTACAAAAAAACTACATAATTTAAGGACAAGGGAATAATCACTCTTGATGGCCCCTTGAGGAAAAAGAAGCTTCAGGACAAACATGATACTAGACAATATTGTGAAACACAGTGTCTGGAAGAATTTAGAAAAGTTACTTTTGTGGACTACAAGCCTCAGAATTCCTCTGCCGAAAGGATTGATGGCTAATCTTTGTGGGCGATTCTGCTGTCTGAAAATAACCAACCTTTTCAAGCTGTGATGTCTGAATGAAAGGTCTCTATACGTTTCAGGTGGATCAGCTCTTAGGATATAAAGCCTGAATCTATATCTATACATTGAAAAAAACAGGATTGACATGGGGACATCATGACTGAGAAGGCTATACAATAAAAAGAACAGTTTTTTAGAGTGGGCACAATAATGTGCCTTAAGACAAGGCAGAAAGGATATATTACGTGCGTCAGCTACAGCTTATTTTGGGGAGTATAGATGTGCAAATTCCAGTTTTACCTTTTTGGAGTGCTTTGGCATCAGTGCATTTAATAAAGAAATTAGAACTCAGAAGTTCAGCCTTGTAGCTAAATACAGAAAGATATTCTTTATTCATTCATTTGTTCATTAATCCAAAGGTGGATCTCTTGGCTATCCAGACTTCCCATTATCTATTTTATTCTTTTTCTCCCTTTTTGCTCTTTACCACTTCTTTCCACTCTGTGTAGGATAGTAGGGGAAAACCTGCACAGAATCCCAGGAGAGATCACGTAGCAAAATGGGTAATTCCCACTTGCTTTCTCCCCCTTTTGCCGACTGCTTGCCTACAATTCCATGCTTACTTGAAAAGACAAAGAATTGTCTGAACCTTAAGGACTATCGAGTGGCCTTTAGCATAATTTAATATGGCTACCCTCTTATTAAAAAGGTGTCTTGGCAATTGCGCAATTTTTTTCATTACTTCACATAAGCCCAAATATAGTTAGGATCAAAATGGAGAAAATAGAAAGTACTTACGCTACTGGGGTACGTGAGTGGCAAAGGAAGCAACAAGAGTGGAATAAGGATAACGAGTAGCAGGTTTCTGGCCCGAAGGAGTTCCTGGACCACGGTCATTCTGTTGCACCTTCTGTTATCTTCTTGATGTCCCAACGGGTATTCCCAAAAAGGCTCTAGTTCAGAACTAGGCCAATGGTTTCTTCTTCCTTCCACCTAAGAGTTCTTTGCTGCACTTGATGTTTTAAAGAAACCTGTTGAAATGCATCCAAGTGTCTACACCTTTTATGTTGGGATGATTAGTGCATCTTCTTGACCATCACACCACGAGCCTCTGAAGAACATAATGCCTTTTCATTTTATCGTGATCTGAAAGATCACCAGACTGACTCCATGGTGCCAATGATTTTTCTTCCTACAATCATGCTGAGGTATTTAAGAATACAAATCACACGTACAGAAGCACAAATTTACAGTCTTTAGCTTCACTTCCTTGTGCAGTTGCTTACTTTCATGTGTGTCCCATTTAATAATTAGTAGCCACTTGTCTGAAAGTAAACCCTTGAGGAAAATTCACAGCTTTTCAAAAGTGTTTTCCTCCCCTTTCTCCTTCTGCATTCTTTTCTCAACAGCTCAGAGATTATCTCTCCCCTCCCCCGCCCTGCTGGGAAATTCACAGAGCACCAATTCTTACAGAGATTACCTTGTAGATTGAGATAAAAACTTGAAATAAAGTCTCAGTCTACTGCAGCTCACCAATGAGAAGGATGGAAGGAGGCTTAGGTTCCACCCACTAGCCGAAAATTACAGCGTGAGTGGCAACAAAACCAATGTTTTTCCCTCAAACTTGCTATTTCCTCCTCCTGCCCTCATTCACTCTGGTCACCTCCTCACCTCCAGCTGCTGGACAATGTGACTGTTTCAGGGCCAAGGGAACTGCTGTTTAAATATGACTCCCTGTTGACAATATAAACTGATTCATTCCTGACCTCGTTTTCCCCCTTCCCAACATATTGTTTCTGGAGAACACATTCATATCAGAGAGAGTTAAGCCCAACGGAAACCAAAGATTAAGGCCTTACAGGTTGTGGCCCGTGTTATGCCAACTGCCAATGATTTTTAGTGGTCATCTCAGACAATAAATGTTGAGAAGTGGCAACATGGTGTTAGAGGAAACAGCACCTCACGGCCAAAGTAGCAAGGCCACGAGGTCAGCAGCATCCCAGAAATTTCAGGAGCAAAGTCTGAGATACAGGGGCAAGGCCTGAGGATGTCATGGATGATGGTACTGTAGTATAATGGGTGGACCCTTGGGCAACCGTTGCAAAATGGTATGTGAGAAAATCAGGCAAGACAGAGGGTGTGATGAATTTTAAGGAAAATAAATTAATTCCAAAGAGCTGTTAGTATTATCAGAAAACACTTTAAGACTATGAACCCCTGCTGCATTCAGCATCATCCAATTGTTAGCTGCCCAAAGTGGTGCTTAGGCACTGGATGGGCAAGGCATAAATGGGATGGATGGATGGATGGATGGATGGATGGATGGATGGATGGATGGATGGATGGATGGATGGATGGATGGATGGATAGATAGATAGATAGATAGATAGATAGATAGATAGATAGATAGATAGATAGAGACAATCCCTTCTTTCCGTGCCCTTTCATATTGTATTGTATGGATGCTGGCAACCTATGCTATGCATTGAGGTGAATTGCTGTATAACACTCAAAAGGGGACAAGACTTTAGATTTAGGTTCTCCCATCTGTCAGGCTTACAGGACATGCAAACTCTGAGACCAAAAGCTGCTCACAGACAGCCCACAATTTGAAATCAAACCACTTTAATATTTCAGAGAGGGGTTTAAGGTGGTCTTTCCAGGTTTTATGAAATGGACCTTCAGAGGTGTTCCACGCTTAGAACCTGAAGACCAAAACACCAAACAAAGCGAGTTAATTTGCTTAGTCTCAAAGGTCAGGAAAACTCCTGTTGTGACATTGAGCTGTTTCATTAGCTAGGAAGTTTCCTCTTCTAGTCATGGACCATCTGTAATGCCCTTTTCTGGTCAGAAAGGGGCTGTTGTTGTCCGTGGATATAAGTTTTGTCTGTAAAGCTCAGATATGAACATTAAAATGTGGAAATTTCCAGGGGAATAGCCTTGTCAGTCTTTTGCAGCAAAAACAACCACCTTGTTTAGTCTTAGCTGGCTGAATAGCTGAGCAGGTTAGGTATCTGTCTGCAGAGCCAGAGGTTGGGAGTTCAATTACCCATGGTGCCTCTTGCAAATAGAGCCAGCCTGTGTGGCCTTGGGCAAGCTGCGCAGTCCCAGGGCGCTCCCAGGAAAACGGAATGGTAAACCACTTCTGAGTACTCTCTACCTGGAAAGAGCTGCCATTAGTCAAAATTGACTTATTGTTCCATGATTATTATTGATTATGTTTTGTCTTGCAGCTCATGAAAGAATTCCAGATTTTATCTGGAATTTCATCGGATTGCAGCCCACTTTTATCAGTCCAGGAAAGCTAATGCCAAATAAAACTTGTTTGTGTTTAAGATACCATGGGATTCTTTGGCCCTAATCCATTTATGTATATTGTAGAGAAAGTGCACTTATACTTTCCCAGGTTTCTTGTGATGGGGCATTTCTTCCTGTGAGCTGCTTTGGAGGGGGAGAGGGGGAGGAAGAGTGGCATATACTAGAATCCATATGTTTGCATGTTTGTGTTTTTGGACTACAACTCCCAGACGTCCCAAGCCAACATGGCCCAAATATACACATCTCTAATATAGATTCATTAGCTAGCTGGATAGCTCAGCTAGCTAATGAATCTCAGTGGTTTCGGTATCTGGGCGTGGAGCCAGAGTTGGGAGTTCAGTTCCCCACTATGCCTCCTATGAGTACAACCAGCCTCTGTGGCCTTGGGCAAGCTGCACTGTTGGGGTGGGTCCAATTCCAAAGGCGGATGCGGCGTTTGCCTCTCCAGAAGCTTGGAGTCAGATTTGGATAATGAAACTTCCAAGAGCACTTTGTTAGGGAAAACAAACCTTGGAGCCCAAGATAACAAGTTACACAGAGCCTCTTATCTGGTAGCTTCAATTCCTCCCCTTTATAAGCAGGGCAAAGATACGGATGTATAAAGAAAAACATGGAGAGAGTTCTGATAAGACATATAGCATAATATATTAGACTTGATATATTGGCATTGGTCAGACATATATACATGGCATTATATACATAGGCATAGATCTCTCAGAGCAACATAACATTCACAGAAGTAAACTAATGACCACTAGACTCACAACTCAGTGGCAAAGTGCTGTTCTCACTCTCTTGCTTAAATAGTGAGAGCAGCCTATCACTGCAGACATAGCAGCTGAATGTGGTTAACAAGCATTACCTAAGCTTGTTCCAGCTGCATGCCATCAGTCATCCCTTGACTTGACTTTACAGACATGACTTTGAATTCCCACTACAATATTGAATTTAACCCCTTGTTCACTTAAAGGAACAAATCTTGACATGCACATTCCAAGGCATCCCCAGAAAAAGGGAATGGTAAGCCATTTCTGTTTATTCTCTTCCTTGGAAAACCCTGAAAAGGGCTGCCATAATTCAGAATTCATCTGATGGCACATGGTTATTATTAATATAGATTAATTATGATTATGGTGATGTAGGACAATTATATTTTCTTGCCATTTTCCTCTGGAATGCTTTTAGATGACAGAATAAATAGCTTCTTGGCTTTTAAAACAACAGTGGAAAAACTGTTTCACTGTTAATGAATACACCAACGCCAAGCTTGGGCAGAGTTTTTAACAATATATAATGTGGGCAGAGGATCCCTTGAGGGTTAAATTGTCATACTAGAGAGACTCAAAGTTCCACATTGCCTCTCAGACTTTCCTTTTTTGCATGCTTTCCTTGAAGGATGATGTGATACGTTTCCCCCCAAAGTCATCAGAAATTAAGGAATTGTGCAGGACTAGATCTACAGCAAGTGCTTTATTATATATTATACATGATTGCTTTTTTAAATGGTTCATAAAACAGTGAAGAACAAAGTATAGGTGGAATATATAACTTTCATAATACTTCCAGAATAATTGGTACTCTCCATTATCTTGTGACTTGCATCTATTTTCTGATCTCACCCCATCTTCTGAATTGTTAAAATTAAAATGTGCCATCTCTCTGTAGACCTAATCCTGGGTAACAAGGCTCACATTAATGGTTGGCACTGAGGGACTTATCTGACCTTAGCAGAGTTGTTTAACATTGCCATCCCTAACTGGGTTTCAATGGCTGAGCAAGGATTCGAACCCAGGTCCCTTAAGTCCTAGTTTGCCCACTCCACCACACTCTGCTCACTTCGTTGATGCTTGTTAGCACCAATTGTGCTTTGAATTTATCCTAAAGTCTCTACGTTGTTTGCCTGCTCACACACAATTTTTCCACTATTGCTGAAAGACCCATCCTCATGACATCCCAAAGAGATGTCTCCAGTGACATCACAAGGACATGATGCTCCTGAAGTCTCAGAAGATGGGAGGCTTCTGACCCAGCAATTATAACTAGTCCCTATTGTTTTTTCCTGAGTGCTAATCATGACGGTTAACCTATGATCTCCAGGATGCAAAGCATTTGTCTGAAGGAAGGAGGTAGACACTATTCACAAATTGCCTTTGGTGAAAAAGTTTGCGAAATGGAGCTTTGGTGAAAATTACCTGAAGACATTCCACCAAAAATAAAAAATAAAAAAAGGAAACAGCTGCAAAGCCTTTTTTCTTTTGCATGGGAGCAGAAAGATCACAGCTTGTTTTGTCAACAGCAACATTTCTTTAAAAAAAACATTTTGTTATTTTATTGTTGTCTTTGTTTTGTAAATACAACTCCCTTGGATTTTATGCAAGAAACCTTGATGTTTGGGCAACATACAAGGTTTTTGAACAAAATGTAACTTAAAAGAACACACACACACGCTTTTAAATTCACAATTCAAGATTTTTATGCAAAGTATGGATTTTTTTGTGCAGAAACAGCTTCTGCATTTAAAATTTTTAATGTTTTTGCCAATTTATTTGTTTGTTTGTTTGTTTGTTTGTTTGTTTGCTTGTTTGCTTGTTTAATGGATTTTTTTGTGCAGAAACAGTTTCTGCATTTAAAATTTTTAATGTTTTTGCAAATTTATTTATTTATTTATTTATTTATTTATTTATTTATAACCCACCTTTCTCCTTGAAAGGGATCCATAGTGACTCACAACATTGAAAGGCAATATTTAAAGTTGAAAACAATTATGCAATGGTAGTTAACTTCATTAGAAGAGAATATTTAAAACTAAGAGCAATGAGTATAAAGAGGCATACCACATCATTAAAAGGTTTTTAGATTTCTGATTCTCACCTGCGAGAATGAAATACAGTCAGTGATTTATATTTGTATTCAGCATACCAGTTCACAGAAAATAGTGGGAAATGGCTGCTGCCCTAACGTGGGCTTTCGAAGAAGCACCTGGCTGCCAGCTGTGTTAAGTAAGATGGGTCTAGACGGGCCTTTAGTCTGATCCAACAGGGCTATTGTATTCTCTTGCAAAGGATTACATGGCCCTCAGCATGGAAAGAACACCATTCCAGAGTTCAGAAACGTTGCCTTTATGGACAACACCTCCCAGAATGCCTCAGAATGCTTGGGCCATGCTGGGAATTGAACCACAAAAAACAAGCTGTCTCCCATCCTTCCGTGTAAACATGTGCTTAAAGGTCCCAGTTCATGATCTATGAGGCCCATCTCTCTAGCGCCCCTAGACCAAGATGAACGTAAAAATGGGGCTTTTTAGAGTTCAGAGAAAAACAGGCAACTTCAAATCTGTGTTAGTGCATGGTGTGCCCCCAACATATATATGGAAGATTGGAGGTTAACTGCCTTGAACACTCTAGACATTGGTTGTTACTGACTGAAAATGATCTGATATATTTATTAATCATACATTGGTGCTTCTGGCAGAGACAAAGAAAAAAAAAGGACCCCTGGAAACCTAGAAGTCATTGTTTAAAAAGAACAAAACAAAACATTAAATGCCGGCATAAGGGCTTCTAAATATGCTATGTGTTCTTCCACACACACACACCCAGACTTGTGTTACTTACTTCTAGTGATAAATGTATCCCCAGTGCATGTATATCTTGAAATACTACTGTTTTATTTCTTCATTAGAGATTCTTTAGTAAATAAAACAGAATTATTGGGATGCCATGGCCATATTTTGTGCTTTTGACATTACCTACAGTGAAGAAGGAGGGTGGAAACCACAAAGCTAGGGAGGCTGTGCAAGTTATTTTGAAGGTTCATTGCTCTGGAGGGAGTCCCAGAGTGTTTTATGCTTTGTTTGTATATGCATTATTCAGAGAGCAAGGAAAGCTGGTGTTAAATCAACAACACTTCATTTTGACTGTGGGAGGCGTCTTGCTGTGCTCGGCTTCAAAGTTTATCTAAGGTCCTCTGAAAGGCTTGTAGGAGGCCGGCCTTCACAGTTGCTCGAGGCTCAGATGGAGGCAGGCACTTCAGTCAAGACATGCCGAGTGGTGTAGAGGGCACTGCAGGTGCGGCACCCTGGCTCTTCTGCAATGTTATTGGACAGAGTGGTGTGTTTGAGGATGCTCTGACTTCCACTCCCACTGTTAACAGGTTGTCTGCAAGTGCAGCAGACAATGTGGTTCCATCGTTAGTATTGAATTCAAGATTCACTGGGCAATCGAGCGGTCTGCCAGTGGCTTCTATGGTCGGAACAGAGAAGAGGTGCTACCGTGATCTCCACCTCAGACAACTTAATGTCTTGGGCTATGGCTGACTCATAGGTGTTGAAGGCCACCAAGACATCTCTCTAAAACAAGACCATCAGAAGCCTAATTTCTTCCCAGGGCTCTATCAAACTAGAGTGACAGATTTCACTCACATAAAACTAGAAATGCAACTCAAGAAGGATGGAAAAGAATGTTGTTTGCATAATATATCCAGATGCTGTCTCTTATGTCTGGATGCACATTTCAAAAGCGAGTGAGTCATTTAAACAAAAAGTTTGTCTTTCTGACAATAATCTCAGTAAAAGGACTGTGACCTCTTTCTGTTCACTCTGCTGAGGGGCAATATTAAGGTTGTCTTGTGTGCTTTTTCCAAGAAGGATTCCTTCATTCAGAAAACAGCAGGGGAGTAGTTATAAATGTGGAAGTACAGCTGCTTATCATAACACCCCATAGCCAGCTCCTCACGCTATGAGGAGACCCCCCCATAAGACAATTGTATTAGTCCATACCAACAGATGAAGAGCAAGTATTTTGTAATTTAATGGTTCTTAATGCCTCGTTCAAGCTAAAACCATCCTCCTATATCTTGTGTTACAGCAAAGATAGCTTGTGATAATAAGATGTTTCTTGGATCATCCTTTACTCACCGATTTCATACCATGATTGCAGCTAAGCTCAGAGGGAACAGGGAATCCTGAAGGGGCTGGTATATTATCTAATTATTCCTGCTAATCAGAAAACCCCAGGGCTTTATTCATGAGTGTCAGCCCTATTATAGACTAGTTAGCCCTAGACTGAACTTCAATGGAGCGATTCTCAACCTGATTCTCCAGATGTTTTGGACTTTATCTCTTAGAATGCCCATCCAACATGACCAGCGATCACAGATTCTGGGAGTTGAAGTCTGACAGTCCAGATGTTAAGACCAAGAATGGATGATGAGCTGACACAGCCATTTGCGGTGGTGCCTGGCACTCCAGAGCTTGGAAATAGTTAATTAAACACTGTGAATCAAGTGACATGCTGAAGCCATCCTTAACTGTGGTAAAATGGTGTCCTAGATCATGTCACAATTCACTATTATATATGGTTTCAGCAGGTCATTGTATTCATTATTCTTAAAAAACAAAACACCCTCCTCCAATACCTTTCCATGTTGTAACCCAAAACATTTGGAGGACACCCCTGTGTTAGAGTAAACTCTCTTTCAGCTGAGTGGGAAATTCTTGCACCCAACTGGGTATGGGTTTTGGTCCAAAACGATTATCCCTCTTAGGGTCCTACAGTATGAATCTGGCCTCCTGATGATGTCGTCGGCTTCCTCATTCTCTGGCACAAGCCAAAGAAAACCCAGCCACCTACTGTGGGCTCCCTGATTGGTTGTCCGTTGTGACCTAAACTAACATATCCCCTTCCTGGTGCACTCAGTGGGATTCTGAACTGGGCCACAGAGTTCCTGTGTCACAAGACAGAAACAGCCAGGAACAGGGTACAGACACAGCAAGTGGACTTAGAGTGGTCATTACTGAACAGATGTCTGAGCCCACACAGAGTCAGTTCTAGGCTTGGAGCCATAGAGAGATACCAACTCTGCTTGGGCCTTTTCAGTCTGGCTGTGAGTGCACTGTTTTTGGACACAGATATAAATATTATTCTTCCTAGACCTTCCAAAGAATTTATAGAAAATAAATGCTGGCTCTCTGCTAGAGGAATGCAAATGGGTATGCAAAGGCCATTTATTACAAGGGAGCCTTGCTTAAATTTGTAGGAGCGATGAAGCCCACCTATCCCATTTTCTTTGAGTTCTATTTCTGATCATTAATTGAGTGTCAGTCCCTGGGTGTTGCAGGATTACAGTCCCCAGAATCCCTGATCATTGAGTGTAGGGGCTGAGAGTTCTGTGAGCATATCTGGGAACCAAGGATTGAAGAACTCTTATGTAGTACAGAGAAGGCCTGGGTAACTCATCCCTCATCACTTGCACTGGGTTGCACCAAGGCTAAGCCCATTCTGTCACCGTCTGTGAAACAGATGATACTAGTTTGAAAAACATGAGTGTATATTAGGTGAGAAGGTTCTGCACTGTAGGTATCAAATATCCATCAATGTCTGTTTTGAGTGAGGACAACAACAAAAACTAAACCTAGGGATAAATCCAGTATTAATCCTGCCTAAGTAGATGCATTTGAAATGAATGGGAGTCTCAACAAAGGCCCTTCCAATTTCAGTGACTGTACTCTAAGAAGTTTACTGTTGCATGTAGCCCAGGGATGAGGAATTCATGGCTCACCTTGTTCGACTGTAATTTCCATCATCCCTCACCACTAGGAATCCTGGATAGGGCTGGTGGAACTTGTGGTCCGACAATATCTGGAGGACCAAAGGTTGATTCCATTCCTACTGTCCAAGACTGCAACCCTGTGTGCACTTACCTGGGTGAAAGGCCAATGGAAGACAATTGAACTTGATTCTGAGTAAATGTGTTTAAGATTGTCCTGTAAGACTATGCTTTCAAAAGTAAGCTTTCTCAAAGAATTCAAAGACTGATGGTTGTTGTGGGTTTTTCGGGCTCTTTGGCCATGTTTCCATCACTGGAAAATACAGCCTGCTGAAGGTCAAGAACTCTACCCAGCCACAAGGACCAGGGATCATTGCACAAAAGAGACCAGCTAAAGACACCCATCAACTACAGTAACAGATAATCTTTCCCACTTGTCACAACAATATATCCACAACAAAAATATGCTGATCACCCTATCTCCTGAAAAGGACAAAAGATGTTCCCACAGCTATAAATACTCAACTCTCCAACAAACAGCAACAGAGCATGGACAGAGTTCCTACTCCAGTCCTCTGAAGATGCCGGCCACAGAGACTGGTGAAACATCAGGAAGAACAACCTTCAGAACATGGCCAAAGAGCCTGAAAAACCCACAACAACCATCAGATCCCGGCCATGAAAGCCTTTGCGAATACAAATTCAAAGACTCGTGCATTTTTATGAAAGCAATTGCTCTACACATATGTAGAGGGAATACATTACTGTCGGATGAAAAATAGTGACCATTTTCTTCCCACAGCTTGTTCTCTTCCTTATTTTATTTCCAAAGAAAAGCACCCTGCATGTCACCCTTCTCATTTTAACAATTAGAATGAAGCGCAAACACACAAATAAGAGGTCAATAGTGGCTTTACCAGGAAATAGCTTTACTTGAAGCCTTCCACCTCTCCTCTTCTACATGGCCCATGCTGCTTCTCCCGTCATAGCTGCTCAAGAAAAAAGAAAAAGTTCAAGGCCAGCCTTCCCTGTAGGCCAAGTCTGTGAGGAGATACAGAGCAGACCTGTATATACTACACAGCCTACCCTTCACCTGCTAAGCTCCTCTGCTTTCCTTAGGTAAAATGGTAGAAGATATTATCAGTGTAATATCTGTTGCTCACTGGAAGCACAGATCCTAAAGCTGAGGCTTCAATACTTTGGGCACCTCATGAGAAAACTCCCTGGAAAAGACCCTGATGTTGGGAAAGTGTGACGGCAAGAGGAGAAGGGGACGACAGAGAATGAGATGGTTGGACAGTGTCATCGAAGCAACCAACATGAATTTGACCCAACTCTGGGAGGCAGTGGAGGACAGGAGGGCCTGGCGTGCTCTGGTCCATGGGGTCATGAAGAGTTGGACATGACAACAACAATTACCAGTATTGAGGTATGACTTACTAATCACTCTGGTCAACCTCTGTATCTGATAAGTCTCTCTCTCTCTCTCTCTCTCTCACCAGTGTTGAGGTATGGTCACTCTGGTCAATCTCTGTATATGATAACTCTCTCTCTCTCTCTCTCTCTCTCTCTCTCTCTCTCTGTGTACTTTTATTATGCTTCTCAGGCAAATATATTTTGTGCTGGTTGGGAAATTATGTTTATTTGCAGAGGTCAGGATGCTGAAAGCATTTAGATTAGCTCAGGGGGAAAATATGCCACCGTCACTATTCCTACCTTCACTAATACCAAGAAAACTCTGCTTCATCTGAACCTAACCTAAGGCATAACTGCTGAATAGTTCAGTTGTTTAGCTATCTAGCTGTAGAAGCAGAGGTTGGAAGTTCATTCCCCACTGTGCCTCTCTGAATGTGATGATCCATAGGGTCTCTTCCAGCTTTGCGGTTCTGAGATTATTTATTATTAAGAACTTTGGAGAACATGGTCATCTCTCCTGTAGGGAACTGTGCATACAACTGTGCTCTGTATAAGAAACTGGACATTGAACCAAAACAGAACAGTGGAGCATCCTTAATGCATTTCAGTTTCAGAAGTAAAAGCAGGCTGGGACTCCAAGATCCATGAAGAAATTCAGATGGGGTGAAATCTGGAAGTCTCTCAAGAAAAGCAATAGAATCAGTCATTTCTCTACAGTTGGTTTTACAACAGGTACCCTCTAGGAGGAGCTGGAGAATAAAAAAAAACTTTTCATCTTTTGCAGTCTTAAACAATCAAGCAGAGGCATATGTGTTTCCTATCAAAGCACATTTATAGTCTATAAAGTCCTTTTAGATGATGGTGTTTGGCTGGATGAGACCATCAAGTCATGTTTCAGGGCCTTGTAGAGGTCCACAAAGGATTCAGTCCAGATGTCTTTCTGGATCCCTTGGGATTTTGCTGCCCTGTATGCTACATATACCATGGTCAGCACTATCCTTTCAAAATCCTCTTTCTTTAGCATCCCAGGGTAGCCCAGCAACCTGGCATTCAGCCTACGAATGTCTGTGATGCTTTTGGGGATGACATCATTGCACAGAGTGTCAAATGCCGTCGTCTTCCTCATGGAAGCCAGCTCCTCATCTTTGACAGAGATCTTCAGGTCATCATTGATTTCCAGCTCTCCTAGAAGAAACTGGGACAGAGATACAGAAGGTCAAATGGCAGGCAATAAATCTGGGTCTGGAAACACTGCATCACTTCAGGCTGCAGTGACGGAATAAACTGACTGAATGTTCCTCCAGAGAGGGGAGGAAAAGGTTGTGTACATGAGTTGAAGTCTGAGCTGCTAATGTAGTGTAATGGGTAGAAGTAATGGACTAGGACTCAGAAGACCTGGGTTCAAATTCCTGCTAGGGTGGCACTGGTAAAACCACTCCTTAAATATCTCATGTACCTGTTAGGATTGCCAGTAGTGGAGTGTGTCTTGATGGTACATAGACAAAATGAGATTGAGCAGAAACTAGTTTAGTGCTGACTACACTGATTTTCCTAGAATCGTTCTAGCTTATCCTTAAGGGAACATAAGTCAGAACATCAGTCCATCTAGTTTAGTGCTGACTACACTGATTTTCCCAACCCAACACTGGACATAATGGAGATTTAAATCTGGGGTTTTCTGCACTCTGCAGCAGAGCTGAGGATCTTCTCTGACATGTCCTTCCCCTTAGTTCTCTGTCTGTAGGAATCTCCTTTTTTTTCAAAGGGGGTATCACGGAACTTTAACTTGCTCCCTAAAACTGGACATGGGTTTACCAAATCGTTGTACTAAATTCCCTGCAGAATTTGGCCTGTTCTAATATTTTATTGCAAGCTGCCCAATTGATGTATTCAAGGGGCAGCATATAAACCCAATCAAATGATTGATTTTAACTTAAAGTTGTTGAAGTATTAAACTCAAGTGACAGGCAAGATAAGAGCCTTGATTTTCTTCCTGCAGAGGCTGAATGTGTGAAACTGGAGAAAACTTTTAAAAAACACAGCATAGGAAGCAGGTAAATCAGTGCTATGAGATCCTTGTGGTAAGCTCTGTATTGCTTACACAGAACTAAATCAGATTGATTCAAAGAAGTTGGGAAAGATGTCCCAAACCAAGCCAGGCAGATCTGAGTCTGAATCTGAGAATCAGATCTTATATGGCGTCACTGATATGATCTTGGCAAAGAGAGATGGAGAATGTTGTCTCATGCATACTGAACCTCAAACAGAAGATCCACATCATCTTGGGACTTCTGAAGCACTGGGTTAAGAAACGCTGCTGAGGACCTCTTCACTCGCTGAGCAGATGGGAAAAGTGTTGCTGGAAGAATCAAGATGGGAAAGATATTGTCAGTGATCATTGTATCATATGCCTCTTCCAGCAGGGTTCCTTAAATGTTATGTCTTAAATTGATACCCCTCTTTTCGTATTAAATATATTCCTCTATGTAGCTAACAATCTTCTTAAAATAAGATCTAGTAGGACCCTCATATCCTCGGGGGGATCGATTCCAAGTCCCCCCAGGGATGCTGAAAACTGCAGATTATAGCAAACATTCTAATAGTGAATGCTATCCATAACATGGCCTCTGGTTCCCTTTAGTGACCAGTTCTGGTACCGTCATCTTTAGAAATTATGTTTCTAGGATTTTTCTTTTAATATTTTAAATATGTTCAGATGGTGTATACATGAATCAGTGGATACTATGGATAATGGGATTCTACTGTAAACAAATTAAGCCAGGTTTAACTAAAATAACAGAATCAAATAAACTAATCCACATAAGAACCATTAAAATTAAGAAAATACATTAAATGCTTTTCATTATTTCATGTTTCCCAGCAGGCAGAAATTCAAGGACATATTATAATACGATACGATAAACCTTTATTGGCATTAGGCAGAAACTCAGGGGAAATAGACACAATCAATATTAATGAGGAAGCACAAAATCATGAAAAGTAATACGTATTACCCGGAGAAATGGGGTAAAGAAGAGTTCAACGTTATGAGGCAACAGTGAGTTTCAAAATGGCAGTTAAGTAGTTTGCCACTGCCTCACTGAGGGGAGCACAGCAATCACTCAAGAAAATAGGGAGAAGATCAGGAAAATAATCCGAAAAGGGAATCAGCCAGTGGTTGGGTAAGCGTTTCCGATGGGAATAATATTTAAACCACACGTGTTGGGCTTCTGAGTTTAGGTGATCAAATCAAGCCCCATCTCTATTCCACTCCATTCAACTTATGATTTCTTTGTAAGTTTGTATCCCAAATATTGGCCCTTCAGTGACAGGTTTATGAAACATGACTTCAGTTTGATCTTTTGGACCTTCTTTTCTTCTGCCAGGTGCGCTCAAGTGTTTTGCTGCTTGTGGCAAAGAATAAGGAGATGCCACTCTCCACCATTCTCCTACATGACCACCACCATCTGCTGCCTAAGATGACTGCCTGTGACTGTGCCTAATAGTATGGCCAACCCTCTCTTGTGCTGTCCTTTGAATTCTGCTTCCAAGTTGTGGCACTTTTCAATTCAGCAATTTCAAAAAACCGAAATTGTGAGGTATTAATTGCTGAGTAATTAAAACTTAAGTCACTCAGCAGTTATTATGTTTATTTGCTAAACAACTGCAGGCAGGAATTCAGACAACAATGATCACGTTAATAATGTTTAGAGCATTCGTCCTTGGGGGGGAAAAACAGTCTCATATACATATGGACGCGCCCATCTAAGGAACAGCCACATCAATCTGTTGCAGAGACTAACATTTCATGGACATCTGAACAGATGGATTTTTATTTCACAACAAGTAGACCACAACAAATATGTTGAGTTTTCAAACTGCCAGAATACACTTTTATGGTTGGGAAGGGCATGAAGGAGAATATACATAACAAATAAATGATAAAGGAGAGCGCAGGTATGCACATGCTTTGCATATGCTAATTGATACATATGGACTGGCTGGGTAGCTCATGAGTTAGGTATTTGGCTGCAGAGGCTGGGAGTTCGATTCTCTACTATGTCCCCTGGGAAAAGAGCCAGCCTGTGTTGCCTTGGGTAAGCTGCACAGTCGCAGAGCACCCCTAAAAGAAGAGAATGGTAAACCACTTCTGAGTATTCTCTACCTAGAAGATCCTGAAATGTGTCACCATGACTCAGAATTGACATGACAGCACACACTGATTATTATTTAGTTGGCACATATAGATTCACATTTAACAATAAAGGACTAATATTCTACAGTACAGTGGTGCCTCGCTTTGCGATTGCCCCGCATTACGACAAATCCGATGGTCTAAATGGGGGAATTTCACTTTGTGATGATCGGTTCCCTGCTTCGGGAACCAATTCTTCGCAAAATGACGTTATTCTAACAGCTGATCGGCGGTTTAAAAATGGCCACCGGGTAATTAAAATGGCTCCCCGCTGTGTTTAGGGATGGATTCCTTGCTACACAGTGGGGTCTTGACTTGAGAACTTAATCCGTATTGGAAGGCGGTTCTCAAGTCAAAAAGTTCTCAGGTCAAATCTGCATTTCCCATAGGAATGCATTGAAAACCATTTGATCCGTATCTGCTCTTTGCTGTCCATAGAAACTAATGGGAAGCTGCTATTCTGCCTTCGACCGCTAGAGGGGGATATTTTGTTTCTTTTTTTCTTAGGTCAAGAAAGGTTCAGGGAAGGCAGGGAAAATACAGTCCAGGCAGTACAGTACCAGGCAGTCCGAAGACTGTCTCCCAATCCACTCTCTAAACGCTGGGAGGAGTGAGGAAGCAGACAGGCACCCTTTTCACTTGCCAACAGTTAACTGAAAGTTCACATTTTGCACTTTCCCTGCCTCCCACGTGGTTTTTTTTCAGTTCTTAACTCAAATCTAAGTATGTAAGTCAAGTCAATATTTTCCTATGAGAGTGGTTCTTAAGTCAAAATGTTCTTAACTCGAGCCGTTCTTAAGTCAAGACCCCACTGTACAGGCAGCGAAAACAGCCGCCATATGGAGGATCTTCGCTGGACGGTGAGTTTTTACCCCATTGGAACACATTGAACGGGTTTCAATGTGTTTCAATGGGGTTTTTTATTTCACTTTACAATGTTTTTGCTTAACGGCGATTTTCCTGGAACAGATTATCATCGTTAAGTGAGGCACCACTGTACTGTGGTTTTGCACTTGCATAATGCAAATGGTATACCTTTTGGAGGCGAATTACCTAAAGTTAAAAAAAAACAGGCTATATATTATTAATTGCACACTGAATTAGTCGCACGACAGATAACATCTGTTCCGATTTCTTAAGACCATTTGCCTGCCAATGGCATTATGCTTGCAGACGTAACTAGTAGGATTTTGGCCGTTGTGCAAAAGTAGATAGAACTGCATAGTACATTTCACCTGAGCAGGGAAAACTGGCCAAGTGACCAGTGTGTCTGACCCATCTGTTGTGAAAATGTAAAGGATACCTGCTAAATTCTTTGTTCTAGTTGATTTAGGCTGTCTCAACCAGATGTGACACTGTAGCCAGAAAATATCAAGGCCTGCAAGATGCCTTTCCTCCAGGGACTAAGAGCATTGTTACGAATTCCACAATGTACACAGACAATGCTGTACAAGACTGGTGGTCTTTCCTTTCCCTTTAAAAATGGAAGAACTCACACAGACAGAACGAGCACAGAAAGAAGAAAACGCACATTCCTCGGATGATGATATTGATCTTCGAAAGTTTACACAACAAAACAGTGGGCATCATTGTTTTGTGCTATGTCTGTTCATAGAATCATAGAATAATGGAGTCGGAAGGGGTCTAGAAGGCCATCACGTCCAACACCATACTCAATGCAAGAATCCAAATCAAAGCAGATCTGACAGATGGTTGTCGAATTTTCTCTTGAATGCCTCCAGTGTTGGAGCACTCACCACCTCCCAAGGTCATTGGTTCCATTGTCGTACTGGTCTAACAGTTAAGAAGTTTTTCCTGATATTCGGCCTAAATCCAGCTTCTTGTAAGTTGAACCTATTATGACATGCCCTGCCCTCTGGGATGATTGAAAATAGATCCTGCCCCTTCTCTGTATGTCCACCTTTCAAGTATTTAAAAAGTGCTATCATGTCTCCCCTCAGTCTTCTTTTCTGTTATTTGAGGCAAAACATAATTTGCACAATTTTGCTTAATTTATCAGAAATATATGTCTTGTTCTCTGTCACTGGAAGGCCAGCACCACAAAATACCTCACTCCCACAGAGCTAGAATACTAATTTTGCAATTCCTCATCCTCATGAGCAAGAGTAAAACGAACAAAGATTTAAATCTTTAGACTGGATCTGTTGTCCTGGTGTTAAAACCAGATGGTCAATGTCAAGATCCTTAATTTCTCTTCTGGCGAGTTTTTTTTTAATCATTAAAATGGATCTGCGTTGGAATCACCTTCCTTCAATACAGGATGTCTTCCATTTGATGACTGCCATCTGGAAAGGAAGACACGTGGGAGACCTTTCTGATTCTTCAAAAAGTCTTGTGATACCCCAAAAACTGACACATTTTCTTTGGCATAAACTGCATAAAGAAGTGTGCTGAAGTCCATTGAAGCTTCTTCCAAGTCACATTTGGTAGCCTTTAAGATGCCACAAGACTCTGTGTTTTTTGCTGCAACAGACTAACAAAGTTACTTGTCCAGGAACTGGCATTCTCACTGTTGCTGCAAGAGTCCAACATGTTTCCTGTGCTCCACTGTTGATGATGGAGAATGTAGAGTTTAAAGACAGTCCAGAAGATAAGTATATCCTGAGTGAGGAGGGTTTTTTTTAAACGTTTAAAGCAGTTATAGGGCCTCCAGGATCAAAATGGATCTGCTGCTCCTCAAAATGGGATATTTTAATCCTTTTTCTTGTGCCATTCACCATACCTGAATCATACCCCACCATACTTTTGGGACCTGTATAATTATCACCATACAGTGGGGTCTTGACTTGAGAACTTAATCCATATTGGAAGGTGGTTCTCAAGTCAAAAAGTTCTCAAGTCAAATCTGCATTTCTCATAGGAATGCATTGAGAACCATTTGATCCGTATCTGCTCTTTTCCGTCCATAGAAACTAATGGGAAGCTGCTATTCCGCCTTCGACCACTAGAGGGGGATATTTTGTTTCTTTTTTTCTTAGGTCAAGAAAGGTTCAGGGAAGGCAGGGAAAATACAGTCCAGGCAGTACAGTACCAGGCAGTCTGAAGACTGTCTCCCAATCCACTCTCTAAACGCTGGGAGGAGTGAGGAAGCAGACAGGCACCCTTTTCACTGGCCAGCAGTTAACTGAAAGTTCACATTCTGC